ACCCAACTTGTATGTCAAGAGTTCCATTCTTGAGAAACATTTCATTGTTAAATCCGCAAGGCGACATCTTTACTACCGAGATATAGAGCGTTTTTAAATTTTCGGCCCTTTAGAAAATTGCCCATAACATTTTTATTTATGAAAATTTTGGATCCAGATAAAAACATTATTATTGCATTTTAAGGCAAATGCAGTAGCGTACTCAGATTTTTTTACAGTTCTTCGTTTTGTCGTTAATGAATTCAACTTCCTTATTTTATATGGCAACATAGTCCTGAAATATAGGGTATTCTTTTTATGTATTAGTGTATTGTGTCGCTGTCAGTTAAGGGCATAAATTTTATGCTTTATTGAATTTTGTATCATATAATTTTAATGGAAAAACTGAACGCAGAGGCAGTTAATGAACTTTATTTTGATAAACATCCGGGGCAGCAACAACCAGACAAGGAGGCAAGGCAAAATCAAAACGACGTAAATGAGGAAGAGAAAATCCGGAAATTGAATATGATTGCACAAGCATTAATTCATGAAAAGAGTATTAAATGCAGTGTTTGGATAATGTTGGATGTTAACTAGATCTTATATTAAAGAATTTTCTAAACCAAATCACAATTAGAGGAAGTCACTCGGGAAGCGTTTACTCCCCATCAATCTTATAGAGTTAGTGAATAGTTGTCATTCAGTAAGAAAACTGGCGTTCGGTGTATAAGAAGTATTCAGGATATTTTATATTCGAATACTTATTGCTTTCTGTTTATTAAAATAACTGTAATTTATGAATAATAAATAAAATTCCAATAAAAATATTAAATGGTTCTTAGGTTTCGTGTTTTTCACTTAAATTATTTTAAATTGTCCTTATCTTATCTTTATGTTAAGTTCCAGAGTTTATTAAATAAAGTAAACAAACCAGACTATTTTAATCAACTCCACTAAACATTTTGCCCACTCTGTCCAAAATCCTGAGAAAATTCATAAAGCAACAAATTCTTGTGAGCTTTCAGTCGTCCTGACAAGTAAAATGCTGTGACGCAGTGTTTAATTCAAACTAACTTTTACAGAGCTCAGCGATTGCAGAAATATTGCCTAAGACTAACATAAGATATGAAATGAATCCTTTTCAGTATATTGTGCGCCTAAAATAACGGCCTTGAACTAAGCAAAAAATGCTACGTTGCCATTTTACTACCTCGTAGGAAGCCATTAAGTACTACAACTAAACATACTGTGAAGTCCTAACGTATGGTTTACCGCGGAGATTCAAAGGGAAGTCAATACATGCGACAGACATACCAAGATTACAAGCTAAGGCCCTCAAGGTCATACTGGCAAAATTTTACATAGGAAACGTTGTGACCACGTTGTAGATGAAGTCACATCGTTAATTGAGTATGTATTTTGGAAGTTGTAGAGTACTTCTGCTTCTCGTCTGAACCCGGCTTGAACTGCCGAGTTCAGACGAGAAGCAGAACGACCCGACTTGAAAATGGCAAGTGAGATCTTGCCGAAACGTTGTCAGCGGATGACTACCTCCACTTGGAGCCAGCCAGACCAGACGCGGAGTAAAACCCGGAAGAATTTACAACTCACATATAAGACCCGCGGACTCCTAAAACAATATATATATATATATATATATATATATATATATATATATATATATATATATATATATATATATATATATATATATATATATATATATATGTTCTCACGTATTGATTCACGGATGGAAAAATGTGATGACATTATATTCCGGGATATCATCCGTTCGCTCCTTGAACTCCGACTGGAATCCTGCATCCGACTGAAATCCTGCAAATCCTGCATCCGACTGGAATCCTGCAGACGTTTCGCCAAAATCTCACTTGGCATCTTCAATGCTCGCGCTCCGAAAACAGTGTTCGAAGTGTTCAGATGGTAGGCATTCCGAATTATAATTTTCTGCATCACAATCGTCTGGCGCGGAGGCGGTGTGGGAGTGTACGTTAAAAATAATTTAAGGTGTGAATTTTTGGCCTCTGCTTGTCTTACATATATACATATGGGTTAAAGTACTGTTAATTAATCGAACCTTGATGGTGGGTACTGTTTACAGGCCACCTAATACTAACGTATCACAATTTTTTAATACCCTTGAGGAATCCTTGTTTAATATATACTCAGACTATAATAACTTAATATGCTTTGGTGACTTCAATATCAATATGCTTAATTTAAATACTGATTTTGGAACTAGATTAACTTCTGTGTTTTCAATATGTACAAGAACCTACCCGCATTGCATTACATTCTATGTCGCTCTTGGATTTAATATTTACCATCGTAAAAAACGTGTCTGATGTAGGGGTTGTCGACAATAACATCGCTGATCACTTTTTGACATACATAAAATTCAGTCCAGACTTGCCAGATAATGAACTTGTAAGTTTTTATTATAGATCATTAAAAACCATTATTCTTCAGGAGTCTAAGAGGGATCTACTAGATTTACTGTTAAATAACCTACTTTATTTTTGTGACATTGAAGAAAAACTAAACCTCCTAAATACTTGCATATTGGAACTATTTAATAAGCACGCGCCGTTAAAACGCTTTAGAAAGAATAAAAACTATAACTATGCGCCTTGGATAACAGAAAACATAAAACTACTACAAAAGCTGAGAAATAAAGCGCTAAAAAAATTTAAACTGACTAAACTTCCAGCACATTACGAGTATTACAAACAATTACGTAATTATACAAATTCGGCCATTAAATCAGAGAAAAAAGCTTATTTAAGAACTAAGTTTTGTCATGGTAATGCCAAAGAGAAATGGAACGAACTAAGGAAACTTAATGTTGTAAAACGTAACAGGGGTACTTTGGCAAATCACTTAGATAATGTCGATCAAATTAATAATTTCTTTATAAACAGTGTGGAAAATAATGAGAGTCCCAATCAAGAACTGCTGAATTTTTATAATAATAATAGGTTAAATGACAGAACGGATCACTTTGACTTTGTATTGTCCACGGAAGATGAGATTCTCAACATTCTGAAAAATATAAAATCTAAAGCTGCTGGCCATGATGATATAAATATATCATTAATACTTCTTTGCTGTCCATATATTGCCCCATACATTACGCACATAATAAATGAGTGTATTTTCAATTCGTACTTTCCGTCAACATGGAAGCGGGTACAAGTCATCCCCTTACCGAAAATAAACAATCCAAGCGAATTTAGTTAGTCACCTGCGGTCAATTAGCATATTGCCTGTTCTATCTAAAATACTTGAAAGAATTATGAACGATCAAATGGTAAACTTTTTAAATTCTAATCATATTCTACTGGTTTTAGACCTAATCACAGTTGTGAGAGTGCCATGCTGGACATTACTGATGACATTTTTAGAGCGACTGACGTTTTAAAGATAACGGCTTTAATATTGTTGGATTTTGGTAAGGCATTTGATGTGATAAATCGATCCATTCTCTTGGTCATTCTCCATTACGTTGGTTTCTCCGAAGATGCTTGAATGTTTCTGTGTTCCTTTTTGTCAGGTCGGACACAACGGGTTGTCTACAATCAGCAGCAGTCATCGTTCTTAGGTTCCTTGGTGGCTTGTTGTACACTATTTTTACTTTTAACTTCATTGGAGCCCTCCACCAATGCAACTGTCATTTTTATGCGGACGACACTCAAATTTACTACTCATTTTTTCCTCAAGAAATAGCTACCGCGGAGGATGTCATGAATACTGATTTATCAATTTTTTTTAACATTGCAACAGATCACCTCCTAAAGCTTAACGCTAATAAATCTTCAGTAATACTCTTTGGAAATGATAATCATTTAACCCATGCAAAGTATAACATAACAATTAAACTTAATAACATAAAATTGCCACTCTCTGAGTCATGCAAAAGCTTGGGTCTCACTCTTGATTCGCAGTTGCGGTTCAGAGAACATATTACTAATAAACTAAGGGTTGCCTATGCTAACTTAAAATTAATTTATGGCAATAGACATGTACTTTGTCAGGGAACTCGTAAGTAGCTGTGTGAATCATTTGTTCTGTCACAATTTAATCATTGCAGTGCTGTGTACGGACCGTGCCTGGATGCGTCCGATCGTTACCGTGTCCAGAAGGTTCAAAACTCCTGTATAAGGCTAATTTATGGGGTAGGGAGGAGAGATCATATCTCCCCGTACCTTGCTGCGTCGGGTTGGCTTAATATGCACCTTCGACGCAAATTACGAATGAGTTCTCTTTATTTCAACATTCTTAAAACAAAATTACCTTTTTATCTTTACAGAGAAATTACTCATAACATATCAATACACAATTTGAATTTTCGTGGAAGACACCGACTAGTTATACCCCGTCACCGCAAATAATTATTTAAAAGATCATATTCCTATAATACAGCCATTTGCATTAACTAATTTTAATATTAATCAGTCCAATTCAACATTTAGGAATAATTTCAAAAAGCAGTTGTTACGTACGCACTAATATTAAGCTCTTCTAAAAAATATGTGCCCCTTTCCATTCCTTCCCCCTCTATTTCTTCTCTTTTCTTTTCTTTAGAATTATGTGTATCTACGCTTGGCGCTTTCAAATAAATTCTATGAATTTTTTTATTATTATATTTTCGCTGTTAAATGGAGGCCTAAACAGTAACTAGAACTTCTAGTTGGCTGCCCTAACAAGGCCTATTGTTGACCATTATTTCACTTATTTAACTTTGGTTATGTAATTATTTCTATGTAACTTTGATGGTTATAACAATAAATGTATTATTATTATTATTATATATATAGTATCGGATTTACAATAGGGATCAAAAATCCAAATTAGCTTTTGGTCGGCACCGGACAAAATATTACAAATACTCAAACAGTCAAAATTTCCAACAAAGAATTTGCAAGGGTGGGACACACCTTAGGTACATTAAATTAGGAATTGAAAACGCAAAGAGCACATTAAGCATAAAACATACAAACCTGGTTTCACTTGACAAACTAAGCGAACGGCATTGCTAAAACATATATAAAATATCAGATAACACTAAAGGGGGAACGCCATTGTTTTTTAAATTGAAATTCATAAACAATGGTTCGTAAAATCAAAACACAATGTGGTAACCTTGTGTTCCATATACATAAACTTTTGAATGGGTGGCATAAAAGTGCATTGGTTCTAGTTTTAAACTGCTTATGTAGATTCGAATGCGTCTACTTTGCACTTTGCTTATATGGTTCCAGCCCTCGTTTAAAATAAATAATTAGCATCTTCACATGTCGAGAAGTGAATTACAATGAATTTTGTTATGCCAATAAAGTATACCAAAAATTCTATCATTCAATATTTTGCCATTTTGACACGAGCCAATTTTCACACCGCAGCATTTTAAAGAAAAATGTCTTATTACACATATCGAATGTTCCCATCAAAGAGAGTCAATACACACTGGTTCTGTGGTAATGCGAATTGAATTTGAAACTAATGCTAAGATCAAAAACGATACATCGGTATACTGTCTCATTTTACATGACAAAGTGTTTAGTTACAATGCGCTCACTAAAATAGTAAAACAAATGTAACGGTTTCTAAAACCACATTCGCAAATAATATGTTGAAATAAATTTCCATAAATATCGGGAAAACAGTACATTTTTGGCAGTTGGCATCATGCCTATCGTGGCATTAGATATACAAGGGTTTAATGTAAAGGACGGTGAAGGTTTCACCGCTGAAGAAATTGCAATTTACGACGGAAATCAAATGTCCCACTATATAATGAAGTCGGGGAGAGATTTTTTAACGTTGACTCACGCTAATAAGCGCAGCGTTCGCTGGCTTAAGCGTTTTCACCGTGGATTAAAATATAGTACTAGTCTTATAGGATATAACCTTGTCGACGGGTTGATTACGCGGTTCGTTGAAACAGAGGACATTATATACCTAAGAGGGCAAGCGGAAACAAAATTTTTAACCTTTGACTACCGCTTAAATTTGAATTGGATCGACCTTAGTGTACGTTTCATATGAGTGGTAGATTACGTATGTGTGCTTCACGAAACTCTGTATTATTATTCAATTAGTTATATCCTAAAATTCCTATATGAAAATAACAATAAAAATGTGCTTTCAAAATTTGGAATTTTATTTCGACCGCTAACCTATAAAACAGTATAATGTAGAGCGAGCAAATTAAAATTAATTATCAACTCTTAAGTGATGAGTCTATCCGATCAGCAGAAAACAATTTCAACCTGCAAACTCATTTGCCTTGTTTTATTCACTCTAATCGACCGGAGAGTAGGACTCATATCGACGGGCCCGTGCGTCCGCAAAATAAATGTTCACTTTGCTTGAGTGTTATAAAAAGTAGTAAATTAAATTAAAAAGCTTCAATATAGGGAGAAACTTGGCTTTGTTAAGTGCTCAATACGTTTTATTAACAGCGGTGGTACAGAATATGTTCTATGTAAATAAACCCAATGGGGTGATCGAAGCTTACGTTTGTTTTAAAAATGACAATATCAGTGGCGTTTAGCCGGAAGTATGGAGTCAGCTGAATCCCATGACAGTTAATGGTAACGATAAACGTCATCGCTCAGCATCTAAATTACAAAGTCCGTTTGGTTTTCTTTGATCGCAGTTTCGGCGACCACGGCGAATGGCAAACAATTGCTTTCAATAATTCCAGCTACCGCAGCGATAAGAACAATTTTGAGACAGACCTACAGAACATATGGATTCTATTGTATATAGTGACGGGTACTTGTTTCTTTTTATTATCAAAGTGCCTATACAAGTTGAAAAAAATTCAGTGATCCGCCCATCTTCACAAGTAGGAACAGATCCGTATAAATTGTTTCGTACCGCAGATTAAAAAATAAAACCAAGTTTATGTTGAATTTCATGTTTTATTTTAAATATGGTTATATTTTTGAGAATCGAATTGGAGGCATCGTTGTCGTATATTTCCATAAAAGATATCCCTACTTGTTTTCTATTCTTTTCTAGCTTCATCTAGGGCAAAGTTCTCTTCGTCGTCGACCGTTACTCTATGGTACCGGACCGGAAGTGCCTTAACTTTTCGATCCACAGTTTCATTTTTCGGCAAGTACGAAAGGTAAAGATGTACCCGACCGTCGCTTTGAAATTTTACATCCCTCCCATATCTGAAAGTTAGCATTTAAATATTTCTTCTCACCAAAAAGAGAAAGTTATATACAAACACATTGTTGAAAAAATAAAATAAAAATAGAGACTAACTAAATAAGTTTTTCAGAAAAACCACCAGCATTTTATCTGATGGCCTGCTTTTGTCGGTGGACTAGGAAATAAAAATCGATAGCTCGTTCGTTTCACTCTGAATGATTGTTTTACGAAAGGTTTTCGGAATTTATACAAATAGAAATTTTTGAAAATAGCCAGACTTTTTAATTATGAGATACTGTTATAGAGATAAAAGTGCAACAAAATATGCTTAATTGTAGTTAGTAATATCTGCAAAAGAAGTTAACAATATTTGCCAATAGAAAAAATTTCTTAATTATCAACGTGTGTGACACTAAGGTCACTGTTATGGAGATAAAAGTGCAACAAAGTATGCTTAAATTGCTATGTGTAATATGTGCAAAACAAGTTTAAAGAGAAACCGGTTACATGCGTGTTCTTTGATTTAATTAAATCTGCGAATTCTGGGTAAAATTGCTAATTCTACATTCTGTTCAATTTGTGCAACCATTTTTCTACCATATCTGAATCAGCGAGTTAAGTGAAAAAACGCTCCTGAAAATGAGGGAAGTTGCTAAGTAAATTAAAAGTTAAACTTCAAAAACATTTTTGCACTATAATTAATTGTATTATACCAAAACTTAGCCAGAAAAATTCTACTGTATTTATTAAGCTGATATTTGTCTTCCTGAAAGGGCATTTTTTTGGGTTAATAAGTGTCATTAAATCTGTATTCGTTGGTATTGTGTTTTATTTCGGCGACCTAGTAATCGCGCTCCGCGAGAAAAAAACTAACCGCGAGTAACATCTTGAGGTAAGAAACTATCTCAGAGTCGCGCGATATCCTAGGTCGCGGCGCGTAATTGCCATCGTAAAAGTGGGTAATAACAAAATGTGTGCTTTATTTAAAGGCAGCGACATAGCCTACGCTCGTTTAGCGCGACATTAGTCGAGGGGAAAGCACGCGCATAACCCGCGAAGGGGCAGTCGATTTTATCCCTTCAATTTATTTCTCTAACGACTCTCCCCGACCCACGTAATACCGAGAAAAACAGTATAGCAAAAAAACATTTTTTTTCTGTAGATCGCCATTTACTTAACGAAGGCGTGATTAATGACCCCACCTCGCTCCCAAAATATGAATTTTAAGGTGCTGACATCTCTCGTATACCAGTCAAACTAAAATCGAATTTTTTTGGTTTGGCAAAGAAGATATCTGAGGCTTAGATCTTGAGATATCAAATCTCCGCCGGCAATCGGCGGATGCAGCGGTTAGGAATAGATAATACTCATATGTTCTAAACCTCTTAATTTTGGAAATACAGGGTGGTAAAGTTTTCAAAAATAAAGTATATTTTTTTATATCCGTAATAGCACTTTGCACACTTTGAGAGAGCTGCCTTAAACGTATCTTGATCACAAATACTTTTGCGAGCTTTTAGAAATAACATTGCGGTGAACACGCGTTGCCTTGAGGCCTCAAGGTAGTTTCTGACAACAAGTCTGTTTTACAGCAAAGTTTAGTTTTTGGATGAGAAGATTAAACACAATAACAGTATAATGAGTAGGTGTGAATTCGCAATGTATTTGTTTTAGTGAAAAAGTAACAATTATAGAACACATTGGTAATACGTATATAAGTATTTCACGACTAATATCTTTCGGAAAAGAAAATAAAGCCACACATTCATCAGCTTTTAATTTTTTTTCAAAGATATCCAGGCATATTTAAGAACATTTCTGCACAAAATATAACGATAACTGCACAACATATTGGCAAGCAGTTGACAGATATCAGATGAGAGGTAAGAGCCTAAAATCTCACTTGTCGATTTCGATTAGTTTCCAGTCAAAATGGGCTTTTTCGCCAGTTATTGTACCGCAATCTGGATTAAACCCGCAAATATCAATTTAAATCCCCCTTTTAGGGACAAATGGTTGAGAGATTATAGTTAAAGGCGGCTTTTTTGCCCTATATTGATAAGAAAACCTGCAGATATTAGGCTGTGATGAATCTGTAATTATAACTGCACCATCAGTTAAACCTGCAACAAGATATTTTAGAGTCTCCTATTGCTTTAAACCTAGATATGTGGTCAAAAATTCGTTAGAACTAGTCAACATTGTTGCAAGCTAGGGTCCTTAATATTCTTCGCGGACGACTGCAACCAGTTTGGATTTAATCCCTCTTCTGATCCGACGTAAATTACGGTGTTTTCCTTTGTTTCGTTTTCAAGCCTTTTTGTTGGAATTTCCCAGTAAAAATAGATATAAGGGTCATAATTACTTTTTGATGGAGGCTGTGTCAAAAATCAAGACGTACTCTACTGCTCTGAAAAAAACGTAATGAATAAGAGTGATTCTGAACAAAAAGAAGTAGAAATAGTGAAGATAACAATTTATTTGGTTTATTTCAACAAAAATATGGAAATATAGTCTTAATAATTTTATGGTTTACGTTGGCAAATTGCGAAAAACTTTTTGTATAACGCACACTTATAACGGGTGTAACATTTTTTATTCAAAACTATAAATAGAATATCTATATCATCATCATTGTGTAAAAGAAAATGTCCTAATTTGTATACCCATATTCTCTATTTTGAATAGGTCTCTGAACAATCCACTAAAATATTATTTTGATTATTGCTTCAACTTAAAGTCATAGCCAACTGAGACTATTTAACAAATGAAAGAGAAGAGAGAACCAGAGATTAAAAAAAAATAAATTTGCAACGAGTTCTTGTTCGGAAGTATTTAGATCTCAAATATACCAATATATATTTTTAATAGCGTTTTTTGAATATCGTTTGCGCTGATTACGATTTGATTTTGATAATTTTCGTAGGTTGGATAGATCTCTCGAAAACCTCCTGTTCTGGGACTGATTTTTGACTTAAGAATGTGGTGTCAACCAATTCTGATTGAGTATTACATAATACCTAACTATATCAATTTCCATGAAGTTCGAATAAAGGATGCTCGAAATATCACGGGCGCCTCGCTTAAGAATTATTCCTGTTGAATTATTGTTTATGACTCAACTTTGATAATTCTATTTTTTGAATATATTTCACTGACACTAACGGTCTTCCTTAAATTAAATATGACTGGAGAGGATTAGATGTGAACTAAATATACTTTACAACGTTGTATTGAATAATGAAAATAACAGAAATATCAATTGATTGACGTCGGCATACTACTTCCTTTGTAAAACCAAGTTTGCCAGGGACAAGCGCATATTGGACAATCGAATTCACTCTCTAATTTATGTTTTAATTTTGTTACATCTTTCGAATACTAACGTTTACTAATAAAACATTAAATGTCCCTTAAAAAGACTTTCTTATAAGATCTATCAAGCAAAAAATAATTATGAAAATTGATCCACAAACAAACATTCTACAGGAGTAATGTTTAAGCTAGGTGCCCGCAATATTTCGAGCGCCCTGTATTTGAACTTCATGCAAATTAGTATGGTTAGGTTTTATGTAGTCCGGAATAAGAATTTGTTAATTGCCCTTCTCGATATTTGACATCAAAAATTAGTCCCAGTTAACCATGATGTTATAAGAAACATAAGATTTTAGAGCGTTTCTGAGAGTTCTACACAACAACCTGTATTCAAACATAGTAAAAATTGGTATAGGTTCTAAGAACTCCTATATAAGAATCCGTTGCCAATTTATTTATAAAAAAATCCCTTACTGTACTTCTCCCTTCCCTCTCTTTTATTAAATAGTTTTATGAAAACCGATGAAAATACACACTACTTTGTTTCGAAATCGTGGAGTTATTACGCATGCCTTCCTTTTTTTTTTTTTAAAGAAACTTCCAAAGGCTACTGTAATACTTTTTACAAAACTTCTAAATTCCTCCTGCGTCGGTTTTTGTTCAGTCAAATTTGCTAACGTTTCGTCGCCAATCATTCTGTTGACTCCTTCAGAGCTTTTGTAAAAAGTAAAAACCCTTGCTTAACTGCTGGCGAGATATGTGTCACAATAGTCTAAATTAGTCATAAACAAACATTTTACAAGGGTGTATGGTTTTTAAGTGTGACACACTGTATACACGAGAGTGTCCGTTTTAACTAATAGCACTATTGATACCTACTATTCTGTCAAATGACGAAGTCGATTAATTTGGAAAAAAGTTGCTTTATTTTCCATTCAAATAGAACTTACAGTATTGCCAAATTCTCAGGATAGTTTTTAAAAAACATCTATATCTATTGGGAGAGTTTATAATCCCCTGCTGCTCTGCAAAATGGCATGAGATATGTCTAAATATATTTGAACATTTTTTGCAGTTCACATACAGTGTGAACGCAGAAAATACCGACTAAGTATATTTTAAGTTCTCGTGAGTGGAAATAGAGATATTACATAGAACGACCATCTTAAAATAACATGTCGTACTTGATAGATTTATGATAGTTTTATGTTTAATTTTTATTTGTTCTTATCTTAATAACTGAAAATAAAATTAAAAAAATAATTTTTATTTATTAGTACTTATTGTTACAAAAGTATCAAAAAAGATTACCTTAAATTAATGTGGAGTTCCTGAGAGACTCACAGTTAATTATAAAATAAAACGTATTATAAAAATAAACTAACACAAAATATTTTTAATTATTTTCACAACCATCAACAAAAAACTTTATAAAAAAAGATTGAATTACCTTTTTATCATTGTTTTCAAGTTCATTAGTGATAATTAATGCTACTCATTTGTTCCGTAAAACCTCTCTTATGTAAAGTTAATGTCTGGTCTGATAACATCTTAAAAAAACTAAATACTATTTTTTTTTGAACTTCGTCATTGTGTGATACTAAACTTAACTTTTTATTAGTTTTTCACATGTCGTCAATCCGATGTGGCCAATCATCATGGTATTTCCTCATAAACCTAAACCTATATAATTGAGGTATTAGAAGTTTATTGTGACCATGTGTCGTTTTTAATTACTCTGCCGGGATTGTTTGTATAAGTGTAGCTTTATTTTCCCTTGTTTCCGCATGTAGTTTAATATATCCAGTTATCCAAACAATTTATTCTGAAAACATTAGAGATTTCAATATTTCTCGATAATGTATCAACGTGTGTTATTTTGTTTTCGGATCAGTGCTCCATTTCAAAGTCAAAATTTTGTATATTAAATCATCAGCGAGCTACTCGAGGCAAGTCCTTTTTGCTGAAGGTGGGGCGAACAGCACTACAATCAATTATTATTTTAAAATGTTTGCTTAAAAGGTTTGTTTAAAAATACATTCTTTTAGATAACAACTAACCAAGTAAGAGAAGATTTTGTCCACTATACGAATCGAGGGTATAAAATCCTAAAAAAAAAAATGATGCCTGTAGATTATAATTTCATTTTATTTTTCACACCATCAAAAATATTTCGAATTTCAAACAGATTTAGTCTTGGCCTCTCGGTTAAGGCGTCCGACAAGAAATCAGATGGTCCATCGCAGCGTAGGTTCGAAAGCTACTGACAGCCAACAACTATTGTTTTGCTAAAAATTGAAAATTTTGAATCGAAAATTGAGTGCGTAAAATCCTGAAACAGTGATGCCCATATATTGTCAATGCATTTTATTTTCCACATCATCAGAAATATTTGGACATTCATATAGATTTGTGTTGACCTGTCGGTTAAGGCATGTGACTAGAAACCTACTGACTCTAAGCGACGAATATTTTGCCTAAAAATATCCTTTCTTAATTAACAGCTAACCAAATAAGAGAAGATTTTCTCTTGGGAATTGATGGCATAAAATTTGAAAATATTATATCCCTATATTATAAATGCGATTTATTTTTCGGAAATATTTTAAATTTCAAATAGGTTTAGTCTTGGCCTGTCAGTTAACATAAATGCAATTTGTTTTTTACATAATCAAAAATATTCCGATTTTCAAATAGATTTGGTCGGCGCTTGTCGGTTGTCTGACTGGAAATCAGATTCTCCGTAGCAGCTTAGGTTGAGAACCTACCTACTGCAAACCACCGTTATTTTTCTTAAAAATATCCAAGAAAAAGCTTATATTATAGTTAGCTTATATTATAGTTAGTTAGTTATAGTTATATTATAGTTATTATTCGTGACTTGACCATCCCCCGTCCCCCGGGGGAGATTTTGTGATTGTAAATTTACAGATTCCCAAGCAACCGAAAAAAAAAAAATAGTTTGACCATTCTACGAGAGATGTCGCCGCCCATTAAGAGCTCAGGTTTCGATCGCCAGATGTCACCCTTAATGGGGGGTAGGGGGTAGCTTTCGCGTTAGTGCCTTTTTGGCAATTTCGCCCCGCTAGGGGTAGTTTTTGCGTTAGTGCCTTTTTGTTTTGACGTATTTTTGCGCGAGGTGAAAAAAGCGACCGGTGTGTCGCGCGCGGTCGGGGGATTCGAACCTCGAACCCGTTTCGAGCGCTACGTTAGTCGAGCCTAGCCGACGACGATTTCGCGGCGGCGGCGACGATAAGAGAATTCAACTAATAAAAGGTCGTCGAGGTCGCTTAAAATATAATAATTTATTGACAACATTTTTTTTTGCGGATTAAATAAAATGCAACAGGGAAAAAGATGTTTAATGACACTAATATCGAACAAATTGTTTTATTAATCATATACAAAACCCCATCAGGATAGACACATATTAATAAATATATTCGAACGATATGCATATATAAATAGCATATATGGACATAAATAGATACATAAATTAAACACAAATATAAACTACAATCATCTAAAGGAATCGTAACATATTAGTTTGCCAAAAGAAATATCTGGTGGTCGATCAATCAGTGATTTTCCCGCTGTCCTTTGAACCAACTAAATTTCGATGGCCCCAAGCTAGCGTGTACTCTGAGCCGGGTATAAGATGTCGTTTGTCATCCGCGTAAGACAACGCCACCTTATTTTTCAGTTCGACGTACATATCATGTAAATGTGAGCGAAACGAAGACATTTGGCGCAAGATTAGCGTGCCTTCCTCGTGGACAGCGCGCTTATAGTCGTCGAGACTAAGTTCGCGCTGGCTGACCGAGTCAGCAACGCCCTTGGCCTTTTTGGTCAACTCGTTGCCGTCCACATTTACGCAATAAGCTTTCGCTCCCGTACCCAAGAATTCCCACAACGGCCGTCTTGCGTACTCGTCCTTCATTTTACCAAGAACGGACTTGTTTACAGGAATGCCGTGTTGGTTGTTCTCCGAGTAATTAGAAGTATCGAATTTGTCCAAATTTTCTTTCATATCTTCGTAGAAATTTTCGCAAAAAATTTGGACAACGAGGCTGTCGGTATCGGTGTAGAGTAAGACGGCTTTGTCGCCGTACTTAGCCTTTAGATAGCCGTAAAAAAAGTCGTATATGAGAGTCTTGGATATGTCCAAAATGCAAAATCCGGCGTAAATAGGCTTATCATATACGACTTTAGTCCTTTCGATCTGGAGAGGTCTCGCGATTAACGCTTCTGCCCCCAACCTTTTCCCAATATTTTCCCAATGGGAAACGAGCCGCACGTCCACCCTTTTGTCCACATTTTCCATCGTTTTTCCAAACACAGCGTTATTCATAAGTTTGAAAAAATCTTTTTCAAACTTATTTTTAGCTGTATTACGCATCGCCGTATTCAAGTCTATGTATTGTTTTAGCCACGGAGATTGATCGAAAACAAGAACGCGATGGTTGCGAACAAGCTTTAAACCGTTGCTTAAAGCCTGTTGCAGATTCCTATAATGCAATACATAATTACGTTTATTGTTTAAATTTGGAATAAGTTTTCTCATTTTGGTTTTCGCGATTGGCGAAACGATGGATTCCGGGCAAAAAGGCAGTTCGTTGTGTGCGTCATGCAGCACTTCCGGATAGTCCAAATCTACTTCGAAAATATAGCCCCTAGGTGAATCGTTGGGGATACGCGTAATATCTAAATTTTGAATTTTGCCCTCCTCCAACCACTCGAAGTTTCCCGTTGGGAGGTATTGTGACATGGCCGCCCCGTATAAATTGGTAGCGTCCAAGTACATGACGTAAGAGATAGGTTTGGAAGGGTCGTAATTAGGTAAAAATTTATTATTAGCCGCGGCCTTTCTCACACTACACTGACTGACTCCTCCGCGGATACCGTGCTTCAAGAAGTGTATCATGTCCACGTCGGTCAACAGGTCCAGTTCGACCTTTGTCGCCTTCAGGGCGCTCGTCCATGATAGACCCGGTGTCGTATAAAACTGACTCGGGTCCAGACCGTACGTTTTCAGACACACCTCTCTGAAGTTTTCAAAAATATCGGCTAAAAGTAAAACGTCGGATTTTAAATAAATATCTGAATATTCGCCTAAAGTTTTACATTTGAACAAATTCCACACAGTCCAGGCACGCTTGTAATCCTCCCTGGTTATGTTGCTCTTTCGCATGGAGTCATAAAAGTCCTCGTGCGATGGCAGTTTGGTTTCGTCTAATTTTGAAAAAGAATCTAGATACGTATATGGAAAAACGCCCTTCTGTCGAATAAGTTGAAATTCTTGTTCATTTTTAAAAAATTTTTTGACTTCCCGACACTGACTATCGTTCAAATTTCGACTCAATCTGTCCAAACTGGATGCCATAAATCGAAATGAATCTAAAAATCGGAGTTTTAGAAATACCCTTTTCCCTTTGCCTCCTTTCTCCGACTCAATGTTATCGACTAGGACATGTTTCGTAAAGGAAATGTAACGTTCCTTGTTTTGGGCGATGACATCGATCTTTTCCCCTTCTTCAGCCATAAATTTTACAAATAAATGACTGTCGAAACCTAAATGGTGAAAAAAGACAGGGATGTGCCGCGCAACTTTGAAATTCAAGTTGCAAGTGGAGTGAGCCGCACCTCGAAATTCGCCCGTCATATGACAATGATCCCTTACTTTTTCGTCCTCTGCATTAAATGGCTTCTCGCAAATGTGACAAGCCGCAGCGTTTCGAAAGCCGGTCTCTTGTTCAAACGATAGAGTGGTCATGGGCACGGAAGTTTTCATGAACTTGTTGTAGAGCGCTTTGCAGTCGCTCTCCAACCATTCAATGAAAATTTTGTGTGCGCCCCGACCTCTGTACTGTTTAAAAGTAGACTGGGAATCGTCAAAGTCACATTTGACATAGTAGGCGAAAGAGTAAGGCTCGTGAATATGAGTTTTGACGATAAACGATTTGTCGGGATTCGGTTCGCCTTCCACCTGTAAAGGAGTCATGACTGTTTCAAAGTCCGCGTACACAACAAAAGGAACTTTTAATTTCTTTTCAAATTCTTCAAATTTCAGCTTATTCGCGGGAACATCTTTACCGTATTTATCCTTGCGCAATTCGGTGGTCGGAAGTTTGATGGAAATGTGAGTGCAGTCGTGTTCTTTATGACGCTTTAGTTTTTCTTCGTTATAAAAATAAACCAAACACCCATCGCATAAAAACTTTGTAGAGGACCTTTTAGTTAATTGTTTTAAAACCAACCGAGACATACTTCTTATTAAACAATAATGATTTTCTCCATAGTCATTACTAATTAATAATAGGTTTACATGTCTCTCTTTACGAGATTCAGTAAAATGCAAAGGACCAACGACCTCAACATCATTACGGACTTTGTTATAGACTCTCTCGAGGCCATAGACATTGACCGAAATTTCATTAAGTCGTTCAAAAGTGGATATGTCCTTAAGTTTAACGGGAAAATCGATACCTGTAAAATCCAGCTCGTTCTGAAATTCTACATAGTTACTGACCCTGTTAGCGTTATTTGTCCAGTGAATTGGGTGAAGAGCAGCCAAGATCGACCGTATTTTGCAAGTTCAAAACAGCTTTTTTGGCTTCGATTTCCTTGGGCAGGCTAACATAGGACGACGCCCTTAGGGGATTGTACTTGTTAATCCCTATTTCTAAATGGAGAAGTTCCTCCAACGCCCAGCCTGTAAAAAAGAGAAAGAAATTAGTTCGGGAATATACATTTTTATGAATCATACCGCTGTCCCTTTCCTGAAACTCGGACGCTTTGGTAGCCAAGATGTCGACGAACTGGACGTATAGCTCCTCCAGATCGGTGTTTCCGCTCACCAGCCGATATTTGGTATTGAAGGACTTGACCTCCTCTTGTTCCTTCGTCTGCAAGAGGAAGTTTCCGAATAGCTCCATACCGACTTTTACGTTGCCGTAGCGTCGGACGTGCGACTCTACCAACGTAAGGATTTTGGACCTAAGGTGGTCCAAGAAGCCCTTAACGTCGGTAGGGTTAACGGTGGACGCCAGACGGTATGTAACTATGCGGTTACGGAAGGAGGTCTGTATCATTTCTACTCCTGGCTCCTGCACCACGCTGCATTTTTGGCGGTGAGCCAAAGTACGCAAGTGTCCTTGCCATCTCATTGCAGGAATGGTCAAGTTACACTGCGTACAATGGCGCGTGAATGATGGTAATGATGATGATATCGAAGCTATAAAATACAATATGAGAATTGTTTGGGATATAATATCAAAAATCCTTACCTTCCGGTAGGTCAAGTCTCGGGCGCTTGGGTTCGTCTGCAGCAATAGAGGCGGCGGCGGGTCTTTTCGCCTTGGGAACCTCATGCTTCTCGCGTTTATGGCGTCGGAGAGCCCCCTCGGATTTGTATATCCCGCCGCAAACGTCACAAATTTGTACTGCTGCGCGACAGTCCCCGTGTCTCGCCAGGTGGTCTTTACGGCTGAACGAGCGGTTGCAATATTCGCAGGTGAACATTTTTATTTGCGGCGAGGAATAGGCGTCTCACTCTCCAACTGTTCCAGATCTCTACTTGACACTTACCTTTTTTAAGTGGTGAAACACAAACAAAAATCCAAAGAATGAAGTCTCACTATGGCGGCGGTCACTTGTTAATTAAGCCAATTTTTCTGGGGTAATGAATTTAAAATTACATTCGAGAACGTTCCTTTAGAATAATTAAGATTTGTGTTGGCGAGAATTGCGCAATATAACGCGACCCGCTGATAAAATTGGTCGTAGTTAGCGACCTAACCTAACCAAACCGTCGTCGTATGAGGCCGCTTCGCTTCGAAACTCGACCGTTGGTTGCGGCGTGAATGTAAATTGCAGCGCGATTGTGTGCGATGACTCAGGCGTACCGCCGCCGTCGCGTTTGACAACTGGCTGATATCATTGCCCGCCGCGTCGCCGGTGTGCGGCAGCGGATGCATGACATCATCGCTTTGCGAAATGTTTAAACTAAACTTTGGCGGGTGAGATCATCGCGTCGCCTGCCTTCGCCGCAAAAAAAAAAATGTTTTAAACGAGACTTTCATATTAAACCGCTTAGGAACGGCAAACGTGTTTTCCTGCGACACAAAAAATGGTTTAATCGAAACGTTTGATATTCTTACCGCATGCGTTTCCTTCGACATCGAGTTTATCGTCGCATTTCCTTCGACGCGAACAAAAACGCAAAAAAAAAAATCTCACTCCGTAATTTCATTTTGTCAGTATGTTATACTTTGCGTCACCAAAAATAATTGTTCGATCGCAATGCGAAATAAACATTCCTGTTTAAAGAAGCAAAATGGTCCATATCTGTGTCGAACCTGTAGAAACCTGTTCCGTAGAGGTTTTGGGCCTGTTTAAGGCTGTCCTAGACCTGTTCGAGAGCTGTTCCATAGATATTTTAGACCTAATTTAAATCTGACCAAAAGCGTCCTGGCTAACATTTGAAATAAAATGAAAATATTTTAACGCGATTTTATTTTTATATCAAAATACAGTTACTGAATATTTTTTCATTTTTATACAATATGTCCTGGAGCCAAATTTTGGAAATATCCGATTTTTGCTTTGTATTCTTCCGCACGTAAGCGCAGTATTTGGAGATCGGCCTGAACAACTGCTATCTGAGTTTCGAGCTGCTGGATACCTTCTTCACATTGCATCAGCTGATTTTCCAAATTCTTTTTCAAATTGAACGCCTCACAAACTACCCTTTTTTCGATGTCATCTTTGAACGCCTCGAACCATTCTCCTTGTGCTTGCGGTAGAGATTCAATTTTTATTTTCTTAACTCGTGAATTTGCAGCAGTACGCTTACGTTTTGGAATATCTGTTGGTGGCTGCGAAGGCGGTGGACCCATCAAACCATTCTCTTGCAATAAATTTAAAAAATTATCCGGCAACACAATTTGTTCCATGTCTGTCTCGGACGCTCACAAAATCAAAAATAATAGAAGAAATTTATAGGATATTCGCGGTGTCGATCCATGAATCATGTGACTTGTCCAAGCCCAACCAGCGCACGAGAACCTTATTTCCTCGTTTGCGCAACACCTTTTCGACGAGATAGACGTCAGGGTTAACGGTTTTCTGCAATTCTTCCTGGTAAAAAGCGCCCATTACAGGCTTACCCTTCATATCTTCCAACAGATAAGTTACCGGATTTGTAATCTACACTTTTACGATTTTAAACAATTCCGTGGTCCAGTTGGGAGTATAACCTTTGCTAAACACGTGCTTGGTATTGCTGATTCTTACAACGTCATCCAGTTTAAGTTTAGATGGTCCTACAATTTTCAAGTGACTGTACGCTGATTTCAGCAAACTAGGCGCGTTATCTTTGTTCACTTCTTTAGGTTTCATTCCGGTGGTCCTGTGCACGCTACTGTTATATTTTTAGACAACAGAGGATAAAACATCTATCCATTTGTAGGTGCCGTTTAACGAAAAATATCTAAATAATTTTTCCTTGAGAGTACGTATAACTCTCTCGGCTACGGCAGCTTTCACGTTGCTATATGTACTGTAGTGATTTATGTCAAACCTACCCGTCATTTTTTTAAAATGGATATTATAAAACTCTTTGCCGAGATCAGTTTGCAGATTTTGCGGCCGGCGTCCTTCTTTGAGAATTTGGGTAAACGCTTTGGTAACTTCAACACCGGTTTTTGTTTTTAACGGTCGACACCACACGTATTTTGAAAAGCAATCGACCACGACTAGGATGAATTTAAAGTTTTTATTTTGTTTCGCATATCGGTCTAGCTGAGCCAAATCCGCTTGCCACAAATCATCCAGCCCTCGTATTATAGTTCTGCGACGCGCGTAATTTCTGCGTGCCGGCTTGTGCAGCTCTCGGACGAGTTGTGCTTTCTCACTGCTCATTACTTTGTCGATTGCCCTTCAATTTGAATTAAACATCATTTTAAATCATTCATTAGTTGTTGTCGCTAACTGATTTATTTGGTCCAAACTCGTATTGTATTTGTTCACCCATTGTGTATATCGGATTTGTTGTGGCAAAAGTTTATTAAGTTGGGAATTGATATCTGCCTGATAGCTCTTAAATGTCTTCTCAAGCTCTTCTATTTTGGATAAATGTTTTTCCAACTCCTTCATTGAATTATCGTATTTCTCGTTAAGGTGGTGATTAATGTGTGTACCAAATTTATTAATAGTCATGACAGCGGTTGTTACTCAAATAATTTTCTAACTCTCAGTCGTGCTTATCCTTCTTGAAAAGTAACTCATACAAACCCAAAGTCCCAGGGTATGTAATACCTTGTACCTTCACATCTTTACCGACAATTTCCACAGCTTTTTGGGTTAAGCCCAGAAAAAATTTATCGTTTTCTATGTCATGAACGATACCATAATTATGGTCAAATATATGTTGGGTATCTTTTACGCTGTCATCAATGTATGTTCGTGGTAATTTATTAAAGTCATTCAACCATTGCTCGTAAGCGGGAGTGTCGACGTAATCCTGTATAGCTTGCTTAGTTTGTTCTAAAATACGGACGGAAAGGAGGTATCAAAAAATGAGGGCAATTCTGAAGGTAAGATTGGGGTTTTTCCGATTCTTTTCTCCATTATTTTGGTAGGCGTCGAGGTTAACACTTCATGTTTAATATTTTCTTTTTCTTCAAACGGCTCTTGTTTGATATCCGTTTAATTTATTGATGAAATTAATTGCTGCAGAGGCTGAGTTATCGGTTTATAGGTTTGTTCGAGTTGCGTCTGGGATTCACTTGCGGCTTGTTTTAGCCTTTGATATTTTTCTCTAACTGCGTTTCTTGATTTTATTAGCTCCGTCGCTAGGCGTTTATCCATTTTGGGATATTATATATAAATGAAGGAAACGAAGTTTTTCCTATATCTGCCCTTATCTAACTCACAATCTTTGTCAATCACAAGAAAATTATAAGGTTCGTTCCAGCAGTACACACAGATATTTCTAAACTATTCAAATGACATGTCCAACATACAGTGATCGTTATATATATGCTTTAAACTCATCATGTCTTGCTTGAATAAAATCAGAAGGTTGGCGTTTTCCCTGATAAGTCGCTTGAGTATAGAAGAATGTCCTTGAAAAATAAAGAAACAATCGGTGTTTTTATGCCTACCGTGAGTGAAATAATCTCTAATGACACTTTGGTCGTGACAAGGAATATCATCAAATATTATAACAGAATTGGGTTTAATTTCCTGAGGAGAAACGATATTCTCATCGATCTCAAACTCAAAAAAGCCAATCTCTTGTAAAGGCTTTAGCAGTTCTCTCAAATACACGTATTTTGGCTGTTGCAGGGATTTGGAATATAAGTAAACGTTTTCAAATCTAATTCCATTAGGATGTTCGAGCAATGATAACATGACGTTGGTTTTACCCGAATTTGAGGGTCCTACAATTAGTGCCCTCTTGCAACTACCTCCAAAGAGATCGTAGTGCTTTTGAAATTCGCGGACCAAGCTTGCGTCGTGGTTTTTTACGGGTAAAGAAAAGGCTTGCTTAACAACTTTCATTTCGACTGAGGCATTAACAAGAACCTGCAAAAGTATTTATAGCATAATTCCTAAATATTTAAACAGTATTTCCAAACACTCTCATGATTGTACATCGAAACAGGGCGAAAGGTTCAGGATTGGTAAATAAACTTATAAACAAATTTCCTATCGAAATGCATATTCCTGGTTACCAATTCTGCGGACCGGGTACTCATTTACAAAAGAGAATAAATAGAGGTGATCCAGGTATAAATCCCTTAGACGCTGCTTGTAAAGAGCACGATATAGCATACTCTCAGTCTAACAATTTAACAAAGAGACACGAAGCAGACAAGATCTTAGAAGATAAAGCTTGGCAGAGGGTTAAAGCAAAGGACTCTTCGTTTGGAGAAAAAACAGCCGCTTTAGGCATAACAGGTGTAATGAAAGGAAAGCGAAAATAGGGAATGGGTGTTAAAAAAGCAAGCAAAATGAAAGCGAGCAAAAAAAAGCGTATTATAAAAACACCTAATAAAATTGGTGGATTTTTACCTCTTTTACTACCGATATTGGGAGCACTTGGCGCGCTAGGCGGAGGAGCGGCAGGTATCGCGAAAGCAGTAAACGATGCTAAAGCGGCCAAAGAGCAGTTGGCAGAACAAGGACGTCATAACAGAGCCATCGAAGCCCAAGGCAAAGGACTATACGTAAAACCGTTTAAAAACAGTAGAAGTGAAGGAAAAGGTCTTTATATTAAACCATATAAGGGCGGTGTTGTGTCGAAGGAGAAAAATACCCAAAAGAGAAAAAAAAAGTCCAAATAAATTTACCTCGAAGAGCTTTGACAAATTTCGATCTGGAAAAATATGCAAAAATACTACAAATTCCGCATTTCAGGGGCGTTTTTATGCGTGATAATTTACCGCGAAAAATTAAAATTGAAGAATGCGGAATTGTTAACTTGGATAGTGAGAAAAACCAGGGAACTCATTGGGTCAGCTACATAAAGGACAAAACTAAGGCTTTCTACTTTGATGGTTACGGAAATTTGAAACCGCCTGTAGAATTAGTTAAATATCTTAATTCTAACGGAAATGTTAACATATATTACACTTATGAAACCAAACAAATGTCCAGTTCTTACAATTGCGGACATCTGTCACTAAAATTTCTATATAATAACATGCCGTTAAAGTGAAACGTCAGTGATTAATTTAGATTCGCAATGTCCACTACGATTTCCATAAGTGGGAAAACTTCTATATTATCCGCCGATTTCAATCCGCCGATTTATTTAGATGATGATAAGGAATACTTTTTGGGACTAGCAGATTTCGAGACGTACATGAGCATACCAAATATTGAACCCGCTAATAACAAGTTACATATAGGAGAGAAAGTTATAACTATTCCAGAGGGAACGTACGATTTAACAGATATCGAGAAATACGTCAAAAA